GCAGCCCCAGTTCCCCAGATTGGATTATTAATTTTAACAAAGCACCACACCAATGAAAAAATTATCAATAATACATTGAAATAGGAATGTGATATATAGGGTTACTCCATACTTCATAATTTTTCATAATCTGTGACTTTTATTAAAAGTTTATTTGAAGAAAAACTTTATGATAAATGCTTCAATTTATGCATGTACTTATGTATGTATGTATTTGAGACAAGGTCTTGTAACGTAGCCCAGGCTGGCCTCAAAGTCACAGTGATCCTCCTGTCTCAGTCTCCCAGGTGCTGAGGTTATAGGCATGTGCCACAATGCACAGCTTCTTTTTAGAATGAAGTCAAGTAGTAATTACAAGAAATATCACCTCTTTCCAGCTCCAAATATAATGTTAAATTCAAATATAAAATTTGATTCAGGAAGGATTGCCAGTGGCTATTACCACTACTCTTGTTGTTTGGAACATTTTTTATGCCTATATCTTGTGCTCTGAGTAACTACTTGGAACATAATGATATACACTATGTTTTAATTATTGTTATTCTCCAATTATTTTGTCATAGGATTTTGTTTTTCTTCTATACAAACTAAAAACTAACTGATAAACAGAAAATGCACACAATAATAGATCACTCTATCAATTAGGTTTTATTTAACAAAGAAACAAAATATCTTTACCTTGGAAAGATCTGGAGAACACTTCCTAAACAACTTTCAAAAACCGAGCATCTCCAGTAACAAGAAAAAGTGACACCAAAAGACTCTTATGATATACAAAGAAGTAACATCCCTATTATTGCCATATTATTTAGTTATGAGGGAACATCAGGAAATCTCTGCCTGGCAGAATATTTTACAGAATATCTGACAAAAGACTATTGAAAATTAATAAAGTTATGAAAATAAATATATTCACATAAATGTTTGAACAATGTTCTTCATTATATAACCATTGCTTGTGCCATTTCTTTGCCTGTCCAGTATACTATTTTTGATGCTATAGGTAATTTTTACCTATTCTATAAAGGAGTGAATTAATCCAATCTTCAAGGAAGTTCTTCCTTTTTAAAAAATGAATGAAAATTTCATCTTATTTAGATAAATATTTAAATAAATGAATTAAGGATATTTTAAATTTATAAAATTTTCTAAGTTAGCATTAACCCCCTCCACACTTTTTTTGACTTCAATTAGTACATGTTTGCAATATATAATGATTATATTCCATGTATGGAATTAAAGTGTGTATGTAACACATTTCAATTATTTTCTTTTTCCCTCCCTTCCACAGCTTTTTTATTTTCCAGTCCTTATATAGTAAATAATATGTATAAGTCCTTATATAGTAAATTATATATGCAGAATGAAAACAAGACTAGTAGGATAAAGAACACATAAAAGTATAAGACAATTTTAATAAGTCGAGGTACTTTTAGATACATTGTCCAATTTTAAAGTTTTGAAAGACATAATACATATTCTGGCACATCCTATGTAGAATGAAGTTTTTTATTTGCTCTGATACAAGGACAATTTCATGTTAAAAAACCACTTATCCTATTCTGCACACCGTCCTAATACAGTCTTATCTAAACAGGTTAAAAATATAATCTGGGAGTTTTCATATTAAACTGAAGGATTAAAGTTTTAATGAGTCCGGACGAGAATGAACTGAAGATTTTGTATCTGAATACTCTAATGCTTCATCAGCATCACTATGGACAAATATTTAAAATTATGTGATGATATAGGTCACTTATAAAAGAGACCTGCAATGTCAACTTCAGAACATTTTTCCTGAACTGGATATGATAGGAGATTAATTGAGGAGTAATACCATCCTTAGAAGAAAGATCTGTCCAAAGGAGGTAAGTAATACAGCTAGAGATGAGTGTGTAAAATTAATATTGTCAGATGCACCAAAATTTACACAGACAGATACTTAAGAATTCATCTAGAAAACAGGAAACAGAAATGATTTATGTAACACCCCAATATTTAAAATGTAAAACTAAACTGTTCACAACATTAAAATAACTAAAAAGCATTTCCAATGTCATTCTTTGTATGAAGTAGTACAATATTAACTGATTAGAAAATGCAGTGACTCACATTATGAACACATAATGTGCTAATCTTTGAGGTTACAGCATTTTCTGGGAATGTGAGAAGTGTCAAAGCCCATGAATGAATATTCCTGAGTAAACTAATCATGTGTAGAATACTTTCCCTTTACACATTTCTCTTTACTTCATGCTAGTGTCTTTCTTCACTGATTTTGCCCTCATTTACGCATTGATTTCTGCTACAGTAGACAACACTGAAACTTGGTCTGAAATGATCTTGCAAAAGATAGTCCAGATTTCATGAAATATTGATGAAAGTGTTGTAGAAGAATTGCTGGAACAAAATATATAGCCCCATTGATAATCAAGATTGCATACAGTTAGTGTGACTGAAATACATAAAAAAGAGGGTGCAATATATGAATTTAAACTGAGAAGAATTTATACAAAAAGAAGAAAATGGGGCTCTAAACTCAAAGAGTCTTGGGACACTCTTACACAAAATTGATCTGTCATTATTTTTATTATGGTTCCTTGAAATGAAAATTTAAAAGTTGCGTAGAGTTATCATACTGTAGCTGGGAAAATAATGCTCAGGAAGGTGATATTTGATTCGCTTTTCTGAAGTTAGTACACATTTGTCATCACAAGTATTTGATTAACATATTTATTTTCATATATGTTGGCTTTAAAAAGCCAAGTTCTAACCAATCCTTCTTTACTCTCTATGAAATACTAGTTTTTCTATGAAATACTAGTATTTCTATGAGATACTCTCTATGAAATACTACAAAGTTTTACAAGGATTTATTTCATGAGGCTTTTTTCTCCATACGGCCAGTAAATAATGTTCAAATGAAGATTTTTTTGTAATTTTATTTGTCCAATTACAATTTATCCCATTTCAGACCATAGCGTGAGTAGTTCAGATTAATTACTAATTTAAGACAGAGACCAGAGTAGTTCAACAACACATAGATTATTCTGGAAATAAGAAGAGAGCTAGGTAAAAGTGGAGCACCAGAGGGGAAGGGTTTTTCTTTCTGAGACTGGGCTGTGCAACTTATATTCTCATGGGATGTTCTGAGAATGAAACAGGGAAATATTCAAGATGCAGGGAAATACGGTGGTACATAAACAAAGGGAAATTTAAGGAGGGACGCATGAAAGCAAATTTCTGCATTACACTGTTATTTTATGGCATCAGAAGCACAAATATGATGTCTTTTTAATTTCTGTGGACTCAGGAAAAAAAAAAGAGACCAAAGAAGACATTTATAATAATGTAGGAAGAACAACAAGAGAAACCGATTCAAAAGATTTTAGGTCATACACTTGAGACAGTACTTTGCAGAAAGTTAGTGTGGGTTGGGTAATATACATAAACACAACCAAAGTGATAGTGTCATTAAGAGTTAATCACAGGATCAATGAGAATTCAACATCACTAAAGCCCACAGCTTGAACAGAGCTCATACATAGCATGATACCTGCCACTTGAAAGCCCTGATAACAAGTAAGGACTGACACATTTACATGCAGCCAGCAAAGGATGGAAATGAAGCAGGATAAATCCTAAATGGATGGGTTTAAATAGAAATAATGATAGAAATCTTGAACTGTTTCAGAAAAATTTGAATGAATTAAGGTAGAGTTTCTTTGCTTCACAAAGAGAAATTAGGTGTCTATATTTTTCATTCATGAATTTGAGCACTGGAAATATATCTGCTTTCCAATGTTTTTTTTCTGAATAGACCACACATGTTAATTACCTATGTGAAGTGAACGTCTGGTGGCCAGGTAGTCTGACATGCTGTTGAAACCTGACAGCAGCCTTCTGAGAATGTAGATATGAACTCAGAGCATCAAGAAGGGATACGGAAGGAGGAAAGTTTATGCTGTTTTATGTGTGTCCTTGTTGATCCAGAAGTCAGCAGTAAAGTTTCTGTCAATGTCCTATTATTAAAGGAAATGAAAAAAAGTGGTGCATCTGTAACTGGTACATCTCAGCATCTATAACAATCCTTCGCATATGAGTATCTTAAAAAATAATGTATGAGGGGATAACTGGAAAGTAATTCTTCTGTGATATCACATTATAATCATAGACTTTATATCCTTTGAAAACCTTTTTGTTTTCAATGAAAATTTGTTTTAGATAAGCTGTAGCCACAGTTCAGCAATCATACTGTCTTCAGATTGCTATATGATGCTGTCTGGAAAAATGTCCCCATATTGAGCCTCTTCTTATCTCAGATAGAGACAGAGGGAAGTTTAACCTAGGAGGCTTCTCAAGCCATACATGAGGCTTCTCTTTTTGGCTACAACTGTATGTTATAGCACATATGTGCATACATGTGTGAGTAAACTCTTTAAATTAACTTCTCTTAAAGTTGGACAAAACGTTTTTAATCATTGAATTCCACTACAACTTTAATTTAGAGGTATAATAGTCACCTCATTTCCTCATTATTTCTATGGTAACTATAATAATGTACTTTCAATCCTATTAAAAAAGCTTCTGCCAAATGTACTTGCCATGATTTTGATGGTCATAGTTGTAAGCAACCAAATTGGTTGAAGTTTCTTTCTTTCAGCTTACCTGGAATACTCATGTTCTAAACTATTAAAATGAGCTTCTTATACGTATTTATGCAATATTCATTTATGTTTCTAAATGCTAGTTTTACTGTTATCTTCTGAATGCTTTCTCTGATACTAACAAAGACCAGGAATTTGGCAACATACTAAACTGTTCCTTGAATCACTTCAAAGTTTGTCATTTTTGTTATCTTATGTAAATTTGTAGTACAAATTACTCCTTTTAATAGATTTTCCCCATGAACATGTTATTGCTTAATTTCAATGAATTATAATTTCTACATATGATTTATACATTTTCCCTGTGTAAAAGTTTTTGCTGTTTATAAATAATTAAGCTATTGTAGATGATGTTTGTTTAAAATTTGTTGAGATTACTTTTTTAGCCAGAATTTTTTGCAGGGCACTTTTTACTTCCTTATTTCTCAGGCTATATATGAAAGGATTTAGTAAGGGAACTACTGTTGTAAACAAAATAGCAGCCGGTATATCTTTATCTCCTTCTTCAAGCAAATTTGGTCTAATGTACATGAAGAAAAGAGATCCATAGAATAATGAAATAGATACAAAGTGAGATGCACAAGTGGAAAAAGCCCGGCTCCTTCCTTCATTAGATTTCATTTTGAAAATTGTGAAAAGAATATAGAGGTAAGATATTAAGACACTACCTATTGTGAAGACTTGAATTGAACCTGAAAAGACAAATAGTATCAGTTCATTGATGTAAGGATCAATGCAGGAAAGTCTGTACAAAGGAAGAATATCACAGTAAAAGTGGTTGATGTGATTAGACCCACAGAAAGCTAATCTAAACAGAAGACCTACATGAATCATGGAGTGCAGGTTTCCAGCTATGAAGGCTCCTGTTGTCATCTGAATGCAGAGCCTCTTTGACATCATTGTGTGGTAATTCAGTGGGCAGCATATGGCCACATAGCGGTCATAGGCCATTGCTGCCAGAAGAAAGCAGTCTTCAGTTTCAACAGTACAAAGAAAGTAAAATTGTGCCATACATTCATAGAGAGAAACCCTTCTGTCTTGAGAAAAGAAGTTCTCTAACATCTTAGGAGTAATAGCACAAGCACAACAAGAGTCCACGAAGGCCAGGTTACCCAGGAAGATGTACATAGGCGTGTGAAGACTCTGTTCTTTTGTAATCAGTATCACCAGGCCAATATTCCCAGCCATAGTGATCAGATAGATGGTAAAGAAGACCACAAACAGAAGGGCTTTCAGATCTGAGTGATCTGCAAATCCTGTGAGGATAAACTCACTTTTCAAGGTATGGTTTTCTGCAATCATTCCTGACATCTCTGAAAAAAATTGAGAAATAAATTTTAGGTTTATAACATACCCCAAACACTACTGAGCTTTCTTGGATTAAAAAGTAGAAAAACATGTTTCATAACATATTTCACATTTGCCACATGACCAATATGGAGCAGAATCCTTCTTTTTAGCCTATCACCTATTTGGTTATTTAGGATATTCTGAAGAAAAATCACAGATTTAAGGCATGCAGGTTTCTTTTGAGTTTTTGAGAAAAATATTCAAAACAATAACCCCATCTATATAGGTTAGATAAAGTTGATTACCTAACTTTCTGTGTCTGTGAATGAGATGAGTGCTCCTAAACAATTTCAATAACTGTATATGCAGTGATTAGCAACGTTGTTTAAACCTGGGCGTAATGGTCCACTCTTCTAATCACAGCAGTCTGAAGGCTGAGATAGGAGAATCATGAGTTTATGCCTAGGTTAGGCAAATTAGTGAGTCATCTTACTAAAAGAAATTTGAGAAATGCTAATGGTTGAAAATTGATGAGCTCATATATATGTGAGTCTACTACCATAGATAAAATCAATTTTCAAGCAAAAGTTATGAGATTATTTACAATAACAGAAAATTCCCTGGTTTCTTTGTGAAAAACTTAGCATATTAGTATGAATAATTTCTAGGAAACAGGAAAATGGCAAAAGAAATACAGTTTTTTAATGAATCAACTATATTTGATTTTAATACTGATCATAAAATCATTACTCAAAATAACTATGTGTTTATATTAATTTTGCTTATCAAAGTAACAAATTTTTAAATAAAAATAGTATTTGATATTCTCTAAAATATAATGAAATGAAAATCTAATTGCATTTATGGTTGAAATATAGATTGGGAGAATCACTAAAAAATTATGTTGTAATAGATTAATGAAAATTAAACATTTATATCCTTTGCTTATAATGATTTTATTTTTCTAAAAGAATTATCATTATAATTATATTGAGTTTAAAAGACTGGTTTAAAATGATAATCTTTACTCATGCATATGTACTTTGTTTAATATGTAGGGAATGACCTGCAAAAAAATTTTGATTTCATTTCATTGTAGAGGATAATAATATATTTCATCATATAAGTTACAAATTATGATAAAATATATCACTCAAAGAATTTCAAACATTTTACTTAACTTATTCTGTTATTACTATAAAACTCTTTCTTACTTTTGGTAAATTTAGTTTCCTCCTGAGTTCAGATACAAATGTACAATTTGGTAAAATGTATTATTATTTGCCTTTGCTTAATTATAACATGTTTCAGAGTAAAGGGAAACCTTTAAGGGTCATAAAATCAGAAAACAGAACTATAAGGAACAAATGTAAATAACTGAGAAATTGATGTTGGAAGTTAGTACTTTCTAGCAAAAATACAATCTATATTCTTTCTTACCTGTGTTTCCCTGATGAAAGGTTTATAGAGGTCACTTGTTTGACTGAGATTAGTTTTTACAGGAGGACCAGCAATAAAGTATATCTCCTTGGTCATTTAGGAGAGTGTGTCTTCAAAGAGTTTAATGATAATATTTATTTCATTAGTAGGGAATGGCTTAGATATTTAAAATAATTCTAAGGGGATTTACTTGACATTGACATCAGAGCACAGCCTGGGAGACCAAATCTTCTGAACATGAAAGCCAGACTAAATTGGGATAATTAAATGTCTGTATCCTTTGAGACCTTAAAGAGAAATTTTAAGGGCCATGTTTTTATTTGAGTTTGTATCATGTTTGGTCCTTTGCGAAGTTGTATATAACCAAGGATTTTACGTTCTGTTAAGGTTAAGAATGCTATGGCTAGGAGAATTGGGACAATTAGCAGAAGTAAGTTGATTGTGAACATGAAGTGTTAAGGAGAGGAGTTGAACCTCTGGGGGTAAAGTTTTAAGTTTTATGCAATTGTAGGGCTCTGTTACCTTAACAACCCTTTTCTTGGGTGGGAAAATATTGGGATGATTATGAAATTGATATGATATCAGTTTTTGCTGATCAGGGCATAGATGGTTTATAGGCCCTACTTCTCTTGTCCTTTCGTACTAGGAGAAGTCTATAATAGATAGAAACCGACCTGGATTGCTCCGGTCTGAACTCAGATCACGTAGGACTATTAATTGTTGCACAAATGAACCCTTAATAGCTGCTGCACCATTAGGATGTCCTGATCCAACATCGAGGTCGTAAACCCTATTGTCGATATGAACTCTAGAATAGGATTGCGCTGTTATCCCTAGGGTAACTTGGTCCGTTGGTCAAAAGGAGTTTTGGATCAATTGATGATGAAGACTTTGATTTGTTGGATCTAGGTTAATATCATTCGGAGGTTTTGTTATTCTCCGAGGTCACCCCAACTGAAATTATTAGCCTAGATTCATATATGTTTTATGCCCTTGTGGGTTGGAAATTGGTTGGGTAGGCTAATAAATTAAAGCTCCATAGGGTCTTCTCGTCTTATTATGTTATTCCCGCTTCTTCACGGGAAGGTCAATTTCACTGACATAGAGCAAGAGACAGTTAAACCCTCATCTAGCCATTCATACGAGTCCTTACTTAAAGAACAAGTGATTATGCTACCTTTGCACGGTCAGGATACCGCGGCCGTTGAACTAATGTCACTGGGCAGGCAGTGCCTGTAATACTAAGGATGCTAGAGGTGATGTTTTTGGTAAACAGGTGGGATTTGTGTTTGCCGAGTTCCTTTTGCTTTGTTTCATCTTTCCTGAGCAGCACTCCTGTGTCTGGTTAACAATTAGTTTAATAAGAGTACTATGAGATGTCTTGTCTTATTGAATTGCACATGTTCACAATCAACTTCTGCTAATTGTCCCAATTCTCCTAGCCATAGCATTCTTAACCTTAACAGAACGTAAAATCCTTGGTTATATACAACTTCGCAAAGGACCAAACATGATACAAACTCAAATAAAAACATGGCCCTTAAAATTTCTCTTTAAACAGGTAAGTACCTCATTCTTTAGATCTATAATATACTCAAATACCCTTTCCACCAATGTGAATATAATATACCAAATGAGAAAGGAAACATTCTTGTTGGGTTGATCAGAAAAGGATTTATGTAGAATGTGGGAAATGAATTAGATTGGCTGACTCAGAGGGGTACATGTGTGTGTGGTGTGAGTATATGCTTTTAATGGCAAAATACAGTATTTAGACTCCTCTTTTGAAGGTAAAGACTTAAGCTTATACTTCAGTTACTAGAATGCTTGACTTTTCTTTTGAAAATCCTGAAGTTCTTGAAAGCTTCTTTTTCCTCACAATATTTTCTTCATTAGCACTTCATCATTTATCCATAACACTCAGTATCCATCAATCTCACGTCTCCATTTGGTTAGTTACTGTTAGGTTTCCATATGTCATGGTTTAGATCTAAAATATTTCCCAAAAGTCCCATGTGTACAGAGATGGGAAACTCTGGAAGGTGATTAGATCATGGTGGCACTGACTTCATCAATGAATTAACCCTCTGATGAGCTCAGAGTTGAATGTGTTGTTAGGTGGTGGGGCCTTGTTGGAAGAGGTCACCATGGCCCAATCTTTGGAGGGCAATTTTTGTCTTTAGTTCCTTTTTCTCTTCCTGGCTGTTCTTGTTGTCACTCTGATTCCTAAATGCCACGAAGTGAGAGAATTTCCTCTGCCATGCCATTCCTGCCTTAAAGTCAGCAAATCACGGACAGAAAAATTCCAAAAATTATGATTCAAAATAAACCTTTTATTATTTCATTTGCTTATGTCAGGTATTCCCAGTGACAAAAAGTCACTTAATATGCCACTGCTATGATCAACTTAAATAGACAAAGTTTAGTTTGACTCACAGCTTTGGAAGCTCATGCAATGATCTATTGGCCTTGTTGCTTTCTGACTGAGGCATGTGGCAGAGAAAAACCACCCTTCTCATGGGGAAGATGTTAAAAATAAGAGCGAGGATAAGGAAGGGGTTGTGGCCTCAGTATTCCTGTTAAGCATGTCTCAGTGAGCTGAAGAGCTCATGCTAGTTAGCACTCACCTCTTGAACATTCTACCACCTCCCAGTAACCTCGCTACAGACAACAAGACTTTAATAACACTCTGCTACTAATTGTGATACGTCAACTTGTCTTGAGTAAGAACTGAAGAACAGATTAGAAAATCTTCTGAGGGCTTCTAGGGGAAAGTACATTTCCTTTTTAATTCTGGAATCTAATCTCATGGTTTGGTTTATAGCTCCATTTCAAAGATGGTTTGTTATATCTTTCTCACATTGTATTGATTTATTTCAGTTCAGCTAAATCTATCTGTAGTATTTACTGGGTTACACTGGGCCACCTAGAGAATTTCCCTATTTTAAGATGTGTGTTTATTCACCTTAATTCTATCTGAAACCTTCATTCTCCCATGCTACTTAATAGAAATAGTCATAGAGCCTGAAGATTAGTATGAAGTTGTCCTTGAGTGGTCATTGTTTTGTCTGCCAAGTGAGAGAATTTTTAAGCAGAAAAATACATTATTATATTTATATTTTAAAGGGAGAATTCTAGCAATTTTTCAGAATATTCAGAAAGGGTAAGAGTACAAGTAGACCCAAGTTAGACTAAATGGAAGTATGTATATATGTAAAGTTGGAGATAAATTTGGTTTATGATTTGGGGGATGAGCCTGAAGAATTGTTGGTGATAGAATTTGAGAGTGCTGTGAATGGATAAAAGAGGAAGGCAATAAAATGTTTTAAAAATTTTGCCTTAAATATCTGAGTGCAAGGTGATACCATTTATTGAGCTGAAAAACACTGGTGGAGTAATAGTCCCTTTGCCTGTTGGTTATATAAGTGAAGATTTTGAATAGAAAATTGAACATAAAAGATTAGCTAGAGATTAGTTGTCAGTATATACTTTTAAAGCCTCAGAACTCAGTGAGTTTATCAAGGAAGATTAAGAAAGTAGAAAAGAGTTGAATGGGAGATAATGCCCTGCAA